CTTGTAGGTTATTGCCAATGTTTTCTTCTAACAGTTTTAGAGTTTCAGGCTTCACATTGAGGTCTTTGATCCATTTGGAATTGACTTTTGTGCAAGGTGAAAGATAGGGGTTTAGTTTCATTCTTCTACAGGTGGAGGTCCAGTTTTACCAGCACCATCTGCTGAACATGCTGTCTTTCCTCCAGTGAAGATTCTTGTCCTCTTTGTCAAATATCAGGTGGTTGAAATTGCATTTAGTCATATTTGGGTCTTCAATTTTGTTCCATTGTTCTACAGGTCTAAAGATATGGAACGCTTCATGAATTTGTGTGTCATCCTTGCACAGGGACCATGCTAATCTTCACTTTATTATTCCAATTCTAGTATATGTGCTGCCGAAGCAAGCACAACATATATTACTAAATATTTTATAACCCTAGTTCAATATTGTCAGTAGACCGAGTGGATAAGCTTCACTGGATTATTAAGGCCACTGACAACATGGCAAGAAAATATACCCTAAGATATATTTGCTAGAAAGCTTTGATTTTAATTTAGCTCTTCTCCACAACAAAACTTGATTCAAATGTAGAAATTACATTTATCAAAATGATATGTAGCTACTTAATATAATTCAAAGCTTCCTCTGTAGAGAAGAAAATAGGAATTATATAGAAATAGTAATAAGTAACCTGAACATGTAAACCACTAATAAAGAATTTATACTAGTTGAATTATCAACAAGCTATCAAGGGATTCTACATGAGGAGGCCTAAGGTTTTAAGTATCAGAACAGAGTCTTAACCAATATGTACTGTGCATGTTGACTTTCTTACTTTACTTATCATTTAGACATTAAGTAGGGACTGGAGATGTGGTTCAGGGCTCAGAGCACTTGTTTCTGGGTGCCTCACACCATTCATCAAAGCATCTTCTTTATACAACAGATTGAGATGATTATGAAGTTCCACAACCATTCAAATGCAGAGAATAAGAGACTGTGATGTTCCCAACCCTTTGTGACATATCTGTAATGCAATTTCTGCACCCAAGGTTCAGGGAGCACAGAGGAAGAGGGGGCAGAACGAATGTCAGAGCCAGGGGGACAAGACACCTGTGCCAGTTACCTTATTCTAGACATGATAGGGAAGTTGCACCAGTGAAATCTCCACAGTGTGATAGTCTAAGGGGATCTTCCTAAAGAATAAAACCAGTTGACAAGCCAAAGTGAACAGGAGAACGTCATGTGGCCCTACCTCAAGATAAAAAGCTACAGATGTCAATGATGCCAAGGGAGGGAGAATTTATTTTCTCCAGTTCCCTAAGTGGTTATCTAATCCCAATGGGCACAGATGTACTCAAGCTTGTGTGTGTGTGTGTGTGTGTGTGTGTGTGTGTGTGTGTGCAACAATAATAAAGAAGAGGACAGGATATTGAGAGGGAGTGGCAGACAGGAGGAGTGGGTGGGACCTGGGAGAAGTGGAATAATGCAGACAGTAGTCATGTAGGAAATTCTTAAAAATAAGTAAACTAAATAATGAAAAAAGAGCACTTGCTGCTCTTAAACAGGACACAGATTTGGTTCCCAACACCCACCTCGTGGCTAACAAAAATCAGTGACTCCAGTTCTAGGGAATCCAATGCTTTCTTCTGACCTCCACAGGTATTGCATGCAGGTGCTTGTATATACATACAGGCAGAACACTCATACACACAAATTTAATTAATTAAATTAAAAATAAAATACA